CTAGATCATCCCCTATAGCTCTATTAGACAGCTAGATCATCCCCTATAGCTCTATTAGACAGCTAGATCATCCCCTATAGCTCTATTAGACAGCTAGATCATCCCCTATAGCTCTATTAGACGGCTAGATCATCCCCTATAGCTCTATTAGACGGCTAGATCATCCCCTATAGCTCTATTAGACGGCTAGATCATCCCCTATAGCTCTATTAGACAGCTAGATCATCCCCTATAGCTCTATTAGACAGCTAGATCATCCCCTATAGCTCTATTAGACAGCTAGATCATCCCCTATAGCTCTATTAGACAGCTAGATCATCCCCTATAGCTCTATTAGACGGCTAGATCATCCCCTATAGCTCTATTAGACAGCTAGATCATCCCCTATAGCTCTATTAGACAGCTAGATCGTCCCCTATAGCTCTATTAGACGGCTATATCATCCCCTATAGCTCTATTAGACGGCTAGATCGTCCCCTATAGCTCTATTAGACGGCTAGATCATGCGCTATTGCTCTATTAGACTGCTAGATCATCCCCTATTGCTCTATTAGAGGGCTAGATCATCCCCTATAGCTCTATTAGACGGCTAGATCATCCCCTATAGCTCTATTAGATCGGCTAACTAATCAATCTTGAAAATAATCATTAGCTGCAGCTCTAGTGGGTACCTTTACATTTTTTACTTCACACTCAGCCAAAAGAAGCTAAAACACATCTCCATGAAATGGGTTATATGACGTAAAAAGTGACCAGCTACAAGTCTAAGCACTGTTTTCTAAGGGACATATACGGCCACTGTAAATGATAAATCAGCCTCATTGGTTTGTAAACCACAGAAGAGATTTATAAAAGTAGTAGTCTACCAAAAAAATGTTTTTTTAAATGATCTATAAAAAGATTGTGCGATTGTACCATACAGAATGATATTAACATTAAAAAGAATACGCAGACCACATAAAGTACCCCAGCCATGTCTCTTCTTCATCTCTATAGGTTGAACTCGATGGACCTGTCTTTTTACAACCTAACTATATAACATACACTGCTTGAATTTCATCTAAATCCCGCTGACTCTGAAATACGACCTGTATGTGGTCCCTTCGGCGCCCCTCCATTTGACAAAAGTCGATTTTTCATTCTAATTTTGTCAAAGGAGCCGATCAGAAAATTCTCAGCTGAACGGTGACCACAGCCAAGTCACTGCTTAAGGATTTCTGAGAGCAGCACACTCACCGCTGTCAGAATGCAATAGCCCGTTGTGGGGGAGGAGGGGGGATTCCTATTCGCGCCATTTAGCGTAGACGGGGGAAATCGAGCGTTTCTCTTGTTCCGTTTACAGGGCTGAATGAGGAAAACACTATTATTAGTGTATGGCAGCTTTTAGTCTGTGCTGGTTTTATAAAGGGTCCCCACATACTAAAGCAGACTACAAAAAGGCTCCTAGTGCCATGTGAATATTCTGATGCCACAAACGCTCTTTGCTGCTCCAAATCCATCTAGTCAGGAATGTAGGAAAATCTCTACAAATGTATCTGCATGCACTTTCTGGAATAGCTATTGCTGCTCTCCTTCTCCTCAGAGCAATAACCTGAATATAGAAGGGAATTCTCTGCCGGTGTTGTATGTGTTTATCAGGATGTCTGTTGAATGACAATGTGTTAATGTGACTTATCTAGTCAGGATTCATGAACTGCAATAATAAGATCGTTCAATGCCGGCTATGTGGGACCCTCTCCAACAGCGCCCTCTGTTGATCTTGGCTGCGGAATACAAACCCTGGCTGAAAAGGACTTCAGATAAACCCTTGTTAGGTAAAAACATTGCAAAGACGCATTTTAATGTATGCAACGCATGTAAGACAGGAAAACTTATCATGTGTCCTCATTCTTCTACACGGTGATTCAATTATCTTCCAGAGTATATTGGCATACAATGAACTTTTTATGGCAGTTTTGTCTTTTTCCTGTGTTTTGGTCAGTATAGCAGACAGCTTATGTTCCCATTACCATAGTCAGTCCATATCAGACTACTACTGCCAAAGAGAAACATTAGAACCAATATAGAGGCCGTCATCATTTCTTTATGAAAATGCTAGTGGCCTGGCTGTCTCGTCAGGTGATTTTTAAACTCCCATTTGCACACTTGTCTCAGCTCGGTGACACAAATTATAGAAGCCACCCGATTATTCTGACATCCAGGCAACTGGTATCTTCTAAAATAAATAGTCACCAGTGAAAGCTCTTCCCTCGGTTCTGGTTTCCTTTAATATCACTCAGAAATAAGCAGTTTTGTGTTTTTACTGGTTAAGCAAAGCAGCCCCTTGAAAGTTGCCATCTGGTTGTTATGAGGGAAGCAGATCATAAATATTAGTTGATCATTGCCTATTACGACCCAATCAGGTGGCAACCTCATGGCTATGAACAGCAGCAGACCTCCCTTGCTGAAAGATCTTGGGGGTAAAAGTGATTGGACGAGCTGGAAGATCTCGTCTGATTGCCATCAATTCAGAACAAGCTTTTCTAGTGTCCAGCATCTACCTGACCCGTCTCCTTCATTCACTTGGCATGCCAGGCTGGGTAACCCAAATATGCATGTTTAGGAAGGAACCTGTGGCCAAAACTAGCAAAGGTTGGTTGGGTCATACCATGGCCAATGGCCAACTTTACTGCACAACACTGCTGCTCACACCATTAGTAATCCCTTCATACTCTATAAAGTACTACACTGGACAGGGTATCTTGGGCCATGTATGAATTATGCCGTGCCCTCTGCTTTAAGATTTGACAGAGCTGTCACTCCAATTGGATGGCTGCAGATTCTGCTGCTTGGGAATCGACAGAGTGCTGGTCTGTACTGTACTTTCACATTAACACTACAAAATATGTGGCCAGTGTGTTTCATAGTATAGTTGTGTGCCTATAGGTCAGCATACGTACAAGTACTATACTATGCAAATGTAGGTGTAGCTCAAAACACATTTTAATACAGAGTTTGATTTTAGCACATATGCAAGGTTGTTTGAAGCTTAATAACTAACTTCAGTTATCTTATGGACACTACCGATCCTTTATAGGTTTGATGTTTATCATTTTACATGATAACTTAGTCCATCATAGTTTTATGTAATATATACTGTTGAATTTAAGCATGTTTTCTGTGTCATTATGTATTCTGTAACAATTATTAGTATTAGGATTTGTTCACATGGACATGCAGAATGGTGCAGTATGGAAGTCTGTGCAGAAACCTGTGGCTGGAAGGGACAGCTGTTGGGTGCACCAGTACGGATGCATGCCCCTGGATGCAGAAGTTTGCATCCTGCAGCTTTGCATGGACACTGTTTGGCTCTGCATGCCCCATGTGAATAGGGTCTTACCTTCATTTACACACACATTTCTGCTTTTCTATGTTCTGAGTTACTCTCAGGTACCCACCAAGGGGAGCCATGCAGTATGTAAGCTGCCTCACCAGAGCCACTGAGTGTGTTTGAAGCCATGAGTTTCTCCTTCACTTAATCCAATAAATACGCTTTTGGAGTCTCAGTGCCTGTATCCAGGCAGCTCTTTTGGGAAGGTTTCTAGCAGAATCCCCGAGGTTGTTGGTGTCCCGATTTTCTGAATGACTCTGAGGCTGCAGAACAGAAGCTGGAATGTGCAAAGGTGGGCAGGAACACACTGCTGAAGTATCCAAGACATAGAGGACATCAGGAGACATCTAAAACTAAGGGGGATATTCACAAAGCTAGCCGAAGGATCAGCTGATCCCTTGGCTAGCTTCGGTTGCGGGAGCCCTTCAGTTCGACTGCTGTACGGGCTATTCACTATAGCCCGTACAGCTGCCAAAGGTGGCTGAGCGGCTTGGAGGTACCAAGCGGAAACAGCTCAGCGGCATTTGGCTATTCACTCACTGCAGTTTGGCCCCTATATGAATATGGGCGAGCAGCAGCGGGTTAGCTGCCTAAGCTTCGGCTCAGCCGATCCAGATGTTTGATTGGCTGAGTCGGAGTCCTTCTGCACTTTGGCTCAGCCGAACATGCAGAGCAAGTTCAGCGGAACGAAGTGCAGCCGAAGTACGGCCGAATTCAGTCGTACTGAGCAGAAGTGTATAGCCAAATGCTGTTCGGCTCACTTCAGCTGGGTTATTCACTCGGCTGCCTTAAGGGGTTATTCACAAAGCTGCCAAAGTCTCCATTCATACAGCAATTTCAGTTCAGCACGTTTCTTCGCACAGAAAACCGTGCGATCGTACGCATGCACAAAAACGCGCACATTTTAATAGGTGCGTGTATTTCTGCGCGTTTGCAGCTACAAATGCAGTCTTTTGGGGACAGATTGCGATGAAATCGCCCATGTACTTTTTGCCACGTTCTGCGTATGAATGCACAGGTATGAACGAGCCCCATAAGAATGTATTGCTTTTTGGGTTTTGTGCGTTTCCACGCGTATAGATACAAGCGGAAAAACGCTAATGTGGGAATGGAGCCTAAAGTCTCACTTCTTAACCTAAGCACCACTGCCATGTTTTCTACTTGCTTTTTTTTTTTTTACCACATTTGCATTCAACATACAAACATACTCTGCACTCAACATAGAAACATAGGAACATACATAAAATGTAGATTCAGAAGATATTTAAAGGAAAATCATGCTCAGTACCCACAGGGGTGGAGGGTGTGTGAATACTGAAATGCAGAATAAAGAGACTGGTAGCTTTCCAGGGGAAATCAATAACGCAACCTTCAATATCTAAGCATAAAGTCACCTAACCATTGACTCGTGAGGACGTCTAATTACCCAGCACACTTCTGACCCATTTGGAAGCTATATCATACTGACATGCAGCGATATAGGCCCCATGTATCAGAGTGTCAGAGCTATGATCTGGAACCACTAATCAGATTAAAACCAGTCACAAAAATCTGGACGTGATTGGCGGCTGTGGGGAAGAAAAGTGACATTTTGATACATCGGGGTATAGTGAGCAGAATATCAGCTTACTTCTTGTTGGTCGTCCGTACAATACAGCAACGCTCAGTCTTGTCTACTGACACACTATACACATCTTTAGGGTAAGGCAGATTGCGGATTCTCCACTGAAAGGCTGTCTTGGTGTCTTTCCTCATAAAAACAGGCTGCACAAAACAAACAGACACAAACACATGATATACCGTAGGTACACAAGTCATATAATATATACGAGTCATGTAATGACTGTGATTGGCTGTCACAGTGATAATGTGATCATGAGCCCACCCTACAGGTTCCAAATCGTAAACACCGACAGTGAGGTCTTTGTGCTGGGGGTGCCGAGTGCACTCTCAGCACAAAGAACACCGCCGGTACACATATAAGTGGCAGCTTGGCGTTACATATAACCAGTATGCATGCAGCTGGCGTTAAGGAATTAATAAACTCGTATACCATATAGAACTCTTACATGAGCACTTTTTTATTTAGCAGTGATAAAAATTACCTTTTAATTTCAATTTACATCCCCTGAAGTTTTCTAAAATTGTCAAAAAATGCAATTGTCATATCCTTGCAATATGGCAACCTAGAGGCATTGTGTACATTACTGAGAGCATTGCGCACACCGGCGTGCAGCATTCCCCCAAAAATCCAATTTCTTGCCTGTGTGATTGGCTCACGACTTTTGCCAAGAGTCTAAATAAAAGTCAAATTTCGATCATCACCTGCTAGGAGAGCTTTGATTTCTCTAAACCAAGGATTGTCCATTTCTGAAGAGATACATACCATGCTGCCTTTTTATTACCAGCACTGATTGCAGTAGGTGGACATAGTAAGGCCCCATTCACACACGGCATTCTGGGATTCCTGAACTCTAGGTGTCCCGTTCAGATGCGGCCACTGTACCCATTCAAGTAAATGACAGGGTAACATTTGTCCCTGCATCCAGGGACATTCATCTAATCCAAACCGCATGTAATAGAACCATGTATGATTACATGTGGACTGCTGCTTACAGATGCAGCCGCTCTCACCCTGTCACTGACTTCAATGTGTACATGGGCCACATCTGAACGCGGACACCCGGCATTCCTGCTGCAGGATTCTACAGGTTCTTGCCACAGAATTGCCAGATTGCCCCGTGTGAACAGAGCAGCGTGAGCAGAGTATTTAAAGAGTATTCATCTCTCAAACTTTTTTTTTTTTTTTTTAAATAATGAATCCATATATAACAAAAATACAAGTATTTCTTTACATTTTTTGCCTAAGCACTTACAGTCATGTTTCCAAACAACTGGCTCCAACTCTCTCAGCTTCCCTGAACTTCCTGTCCAGTACAAGATCACAAGGGATAGAGCAGTCTCCAGCAGATATCCATCTACTAGCTTGGAGAAGAGGACAGTGAGCAGGGGAGAGGGAAGTGACTTGCTGTGTCTGTGTGTTTTTGGAGACACAAGCAGCTTACTAGCACACACAAGGGTGGCTCCAGAGGATACTTCAAGGAAAAGGAGCCACCCTAAGGCCCCGTTCACATGTAGCGAATTATCGCGCATTTTTGCCGCGCGATATCGCGAGAAGTCGCCGGCCAATGCTATTCAATGGAGCTGTCTTAACTCCATGTCGCTCGTCGCAAGTCGCTTCTACCGGACCCTTTTTTCGGCGGATTTTGCCTTTTTTCTATGGAGCCCGACGGAGAAGGTCGCACTACCGTCGCTGGATTGTCGCTGGAACGTCGCCCCGAAAGTCGCACTATCCCGGCCGTGTGGATCCGCTGCAAAAGGTATGTCGCTACGTGTGAATGGGGTCTAAAACAGGAAGTTAGGACCAGTGCTCGGGGGACTGGCTGATTCTGCAGGAAACTAACATGCTTAAATATCAAGGAGCAGCATTCATTGTAAGGGATTCAATCAGCATATTAAAAGGAGAACTATGAGGTGAGTGCTTTTCACTCACCTCATAGTTCTAGCCGACCTGTGACAATGAGACTGTCACAGGTCGGCTCAGTAGATCGGGAGGTGAGCGAACACATACCGGCGTTCGCTCACCTCTCGATCCTGTCACGGCTCTCTGCCGTGACAGGGGGAGGGGCTGGATTCCCCCCTCCCCCCTCTGCCAGCGCTGACTGGCGGAACGGACGGGGGAGGGGGCGGGTACAGCTGGCTCTGCCTCTAGATAGGCAAAGCCAGCTGTCACTCACGCAGCTGGGCGGATCCAGACAGACATCGATGTCGGGATACGCTCCGGCGTCTCAGTATACTGAGCCTAGGGTGACGGGAGGACGCTAGTTTGTGTCCTTCCGTTACCCTAAGGAGAACTATGGGGAAAAGCCCTGACCCCATAGTTCTCCTTTAAAATATATTAAAGTCAAAATGTGTTTAAGCTGACTTCAACATGTGGTTTTCCTGTTTAATCACATAGTAGCTGCACATGAAAATATACATTGCAAGTAAATAAATATCAGAAGAAGGAAGGATTTGAGAAATGGTGCAATAAAACAAAACACATCTAAAATATTTATAAGTCATGGATAATATTAGCAGTCATGCTTATTACATACATTGGAACTGTTTTCTTTTAGGAAATCATTTTGTAGCACTGCGACCACCGGTGCTGGCGTTTCCCCAACTTCAATTTGCCATTCAGCATGTGCACCCAGGGCTGACTTCTGTCTCCATTTCCTCACTGGAAGCACACAAGAATTAGAAAGCAAACAATGTAGGGCCACTGTTATTGAAAGAGAACCGGCGGCAGCATCCACCTAGTATTCTTTACTCTGCACAACATAGGTCAGTAAATGAGAAAATGGCAAGCAGTGCATCACTTTATAGTAAGCAATAGAGACGCAGGTGGGAGGGACAATACCGCCTGCTCTATGCAGATGCAGAAAATACTTGGCTCCAGTACCAGATTATTTTTGTTACTGTAAGACTAACATTTACAACTATGAATTGGTTATGGCTGGCATCAAAGTGGCAATGGAGCAGCGGTTGGGGGTGTTCTCTACAAGAGAACCTGTCACTTTGCACTGAATTATCAAGGTGAGAGATTGGAACCTTTGCAAGTTCTTTTTTTTTTTACACTTCCTGTCTTGTAGACAAAACAGGAAATAAAGGTAAATTCCCTCTCCCATTGGAAGCTTTTCTTGACTTGTGTTTTAGAGAAAACTATGAAATGTTGGATTTCCTATTCATTTATGTTCTGGTGGCAAGGGTCACCAAGGCAAATAGACAGGAAGAGTCTCCCAAGCGAAGACACAGCAATAAAAATCTGATTGGAGCGCTAACACTTTCCCACTCTATCCGAAACAAGAAAAAAAGGTTTTGGCTTTAAGAAGATTTTAATTTCATTTTTGCAACTCCCAATGAATATTCCCCATCAAACCCACAGTAAAGGGTTCCTTGTATATGATTATGGAATGGAGAATTGTCTTCTTTGCTGCAGAAGTTCTCTCCTTCTGGCGCCATCTTCTCTGTTATTAGGAGCCAGCTGTCCATTCCTGTGATAATGTGACACCAGATCTTGTACATGTACACACACAGCGGCCTGTTATTTTCTACAGGTTGCACAGAAAAATATGGCAATATTTGGCATTTAGGGAGACACGGCCTCCTGGGATGTGTGACGTGGAGGCTGTGGGTCTAAATATAGGAAAAATTGTATTTTCTTTTTATAAACTTTTAACATATTCAGTGGTTTTGTACGGGGGAGGAAGGACATCACTATAAAGCTGGCCATACACCTAGAGATTATCTGCAGATTTTCTAGGGTCAGATGGAAAAAGTGCAGCAGATTCTTCCATATACGCTAAACTGTGTGGATGAAGGAATCTCCCACTGGGCCAGGCTTCAGTATCTTGCTAGTCGGCCCCGCTGGCCCTCAAAATACCTGAACAATCTGATTGGATGCAGGCAGATGTTCAGGTGTTACGAGAGCCAGCGGGTCCGACTAGCAAGATACTGAAGCCTGGCCCAGTGGGAGATTCCTTCATCCACACAGTTTAGCGTAGATGGAGGAATCTGTTGCACTTTTTCCATCTGACCATAGAAAAGCTGCAGATAATCTATAGGGGTATGGCCAGCTTTAGGATATAAAATAGAATAGCGGGAGCTTGTACCTGATGTCTAGAATATACACGCTTACTTCTAGCAATCAGTTGGAACAGACATGTTTATGGAAACAGTAAATCATAAATGACAAACTGGTTTATATGAAGGAGATTATAATAGTATTTCCAGATGAATACATCAAACATTCTGATATTTAGGAAAGAACTAGTGTGGAAGTAGATATTCGACCACTCAGAGGTCACTTCCCCTAGTATAGCACTACATGGATATGATGCCACTCAGTTGACATACTTGATAAAGGAAGGAACCTACTGAAATGCTCTTTTGGATTCCTGCTCAGAGCTCCAACCCACTAGGTGGCACTTCTATCCTCTGCACTGCTCTTTAGACGGTTGGTGGTCAGTAATAACTTTCATTATATTAGCATGACGTGATAACATACAGACGGACAACATACTATCCTTACCCAATAACTCCTGTGTCTTGTGGTCGTACTCTTCCACCATCTCCTTCCCATCTGCAAACAGGTAGTGCACTTTTCTTATGCCTAGAAATAAGAAAATCAAAGTTTTAAAGACTGGCATGATCTGTCATATGTTTAGCAGTCCTTAAAGGAGAACTATGAGGTGAGTGCTTTTCACTCACCTCATAGTTCTAGCCGACCTGTGACAATGAGACTACTGAGGTCGGCTCAGTAGATCGGGAGGTGAGCTGTATTCCCCCTCCCCGCTCCGATCTGCCAGCGCTGACTGGCGGATCGGACGGGGGAGGGGACGGGTACAGCTGGCTCTGCCTCTAGATAGGCAAAGCCAGCTGTCACTCACGCAGCTGGGCGGATCCCGGCACAATTGTCGGGACCCACTTCAGCTGTGGCGTCTCAGTATATCGCGAGCGGCAGCTCGCGGTATACTGCGGCGTCTCAGTATACCGCGAGCTACAGCTCGCGGTATACTGAGCTTAGGGTGACGGGAGGACGCCAGTTTGTGTCCTCCTGTTACCCTAAGGAGAACTATGGGGAAAAGCCTTAACCCCATAGTTCTCCTTTAAAGAAGAAGAACTCCAGGATTTTTAAAAACATTTTTTATTAACCCTTGCAGTGGGGTTTCCACCCCACTCCAAGGGTTAACTGCTCCTTTGTGCTGGGTTAAAAACAAAAAGATATACTCACCCAAAGCACCGTGCCAGATACTGAGGAACATTCCAATGTGCTGCGTAGGAGTGGACAGGCAGGAGGGAGCGCTGTGACAGCTGGTTGGCTCAGAGCTTTGGGTGAGTATATCTTTGTTTTTAACATAGACACAAATGAGCAGTTAACCCTTGCAGTGTGGGGATAGCCCAATAACGAGCTCTGCTTTAAACCATATTTAAACCCAAGAACAAAAAAAGATATTGCACCTTACCAGTCCATAGACGTGGTCAGAGAACAAGGGACACATGGGAAGTCCGGCAGAGCTCTGCTCAGCGTCCCCACCAAGAAACACATCACCATTCCTCATGACCTGTTACTGTGGACCTGCTTTCGGCCAGTCAGATCAGGTCCTCTTTCACTTGATCCCGCCACCCCAACAGCTTAAGTGTCTCTATTATGGAAAAGGGAGGCAGCCAACTGACGTCTCTTTTGGCAATGACCGTTCCCTGGCTGTCAGACTAGTGCTGTGTCTTCAATGCTTTCTGAGTCTCTGTCCTGAAACAAATATAGGCATAAGTGATTCTGATACAGAGCTTGCACTCATCTACAGCGTGCTTTGTTCTGGGTCAGTGACTCGCAAAGCATTGAATTCAGCTACAGCCAGGCAAATAGTATTTTCCAACAAGGGTCAGCTATGGCTGGTGCCCCCTCTCCCCTGATTTATACTTACTGGAATCTGTTGCTTGTGGCCTCCATTCGTTTACATCCCACTTCAAAGTCCCCTCACTGCGGCCACATTAACAGAATAGAGAATGTAACAGGAACTGAGAGAGAATGTAACAGGAAGTGAGAGAGAATGTCCCCACTGAGGTCACAAACAGCAATAAACCTGAAAACATCCTAACAAGAGTGTGTCATGGTGCACTGCCAGTCCTTTGAACATGACTGGGCCGCCTTCTGACATCTTATTGTGTATTATAAGACCTGAAAACACGTCAGGCCGGCGGCTGCTCTTCAGTGCTGCCCCTATGGGAGTCACTGTGTCTTGTAGCACTGGTGTCCTAGGCTCCATTCCTACCAAGCACAACACATATAAATACAAATAAACCAGAGACTTAGAATGAATGATGTTATCTTCTGCTGACAACTGGACAGTATGGGGTCTTGTATGGGCACGTCTGTCACCTGTGCACCCACCATGCTGGCACACACCACGTGACCCGCAGCCACAGACCTGAGTGGGAAAGAAGGACACCAATGGTGACAGACACACATGGCATTACCGTCCTGCAGGATACACGTCTTCTTAGCCGCTCTCAGGCTCTCCAGCCACAGCTGCACCGCCATTTTCCCCCGGACCTTTCTCTGTTACTATAGCAACCAGCGCGTAACAACTAGCACCGGTCGCAGCCTGTTACTATGGCAACCACGGCGGGGCCCTCCCTGCCCGGCTTACACTGCTTGGCTGTGCGGACTCCGCCCGATTTTAAAGAGCCTGAGCACACGGCGTGTCCGCAACAACATCCGGGTCAAACGGAAGCGGACCTGAGAAATCCGGGCTAAGGGGCAGTAAGTGTTAATAGGGCACATTATTATTAATATATAATATCGATGAGCGTGATATCTGCCTGCAGTTTATGTGGCCCTCAATGGGAGAGAAAAGACCCTACACCTTCTCCAGCCACCGGCAAACGGGGCTCTGTGATGGGCAATAAAGCGGACCTGTCATTGCTAGTCACACCAAATACCTGAACGTATTAGCATTGCAGAATGCAGCATTGAAGGTTTGCTTTTGTTACGTGAGAGTGTTTATAATGCACAGACAAGGAAGAGCAGATTACTGAGTCCTGCTGGCTGATTGATCCAGGATACATGGTAAAGCGTTATTAAACCTTGAAGTGAAAAGAAGAATGTAGTGTTCTAGACCATTGGACTTAAAGTGACATTAAACCCTCAGATTTATTAACATAAACCAATACTGTAATGTGTGCCTTACTGTAATCCATGGTTGTTTCCCTTCTCTTTGCTGCTCTTCCTTTTAAATCCTTCTCTCTTCTCATGCTTGGGGAGAACTTCCATTTGCAGCTGAGTGCCTCTTCCTGTAGTGCTGGCTCAGGTTGTGAACCTTCACACAGACACCATGTATCCATTCCATAGACAAGGCAGTCTGCTGCAAAACAGAAGTTCTGCCCAGCATGAGAACAGATACAGATTTAAAAGGAAGAGCAGCAAAGAGAAGGGAAACAACCATGGATTACAGTAAGGCACACATTACAGCAGGGGTGGCCACAATTTTTGTGTTAAGATCTACTTTTCAAAAGACGAGCTACATGAGATCTACCAACGGAAAAAAAAACCTCCCTTGCTTTCTCTCTCCTGGCTGTGTCTCCTTGCTCATCCTCCTGGCTGTCTCTCCTTGCTCATCCCCCTGGCTGTCTCTCCTTGCTCATCCTCCTGGCTGTCTCTCCTTGCTCATCCTCCTGGTTGTCTCTCCTTGCGCTCTCTCTCTCTCTCCTGGCTGTCATTCCTCATTTTTTCTCCTGGCTGTCTCCTTGATCTGTCTCCCTTGGCTGTCTCTCCTTGTTCTTTCCTCTGGCTGTCTCTCCTTGCTCTTTCCCCTGGCTGTCTCTCCTCGCTCTCTCTCCCCAGGCTGTCTCTCCCCGCTCTCTCTCCTGGCTCACCTTGCTGTATTTTTCAACAGGCTGTGTAAACTAATATTCTTTATTGTAATACATAGCACTTCAACCACCAGTATCCACCAGAAAGGTGTCAGGGAGCTTGGCTCAGCAGACTCAGGCTAATAGGTAATCATGTGTGCACAGCTAAATAAATATACCAATATGGAATAAAGGGGCCACCATTCACACCCTTCGTGATCTACCTGCATCAGCTTTGAGAGCTACTGGTAGATCACGATCTACCTAATGGGCACCCCTGCATTACAGTATTGTTTTATGTTAAAAAATCTGAGGGTTTAATGTCACTTTAACTTGTTTGCTTGTGTTCTTCTTCTCCCAGACTTCTGGTTGCTATGTACCCCTTCTACCAAAACTAGATCTTCCCAAGTTCCTGGGGGGTATGCAGGACTTGACTCCAGCCCTACAGCTGTTGTGGAACTACAAATCCCATGAGGCATTGCAAGATTCTCAGCCACCGGCATGACTCACCGAGACAGATGCATCATGGGATTTGTAGTTTCACAGCTGGAGGGCTAGGGTTTGCCCACCCCTGCTGTACAGGGTCTTATGGAGCCACCCTTGTGTGCATGCTCCCAGCGTGCGTATATTCACACAGCGTTCCTAAAAGCCTAACACGACAAGACACTCCCACCCCGCTCCCTATACCCTCTCCTCAGTGCACACGCGTCACTCCCCTGAGGCGTGTTCAGTTGCTCAGCCGCAGCGAGTGCTGAGTTAGCAACCCGCCGCTGAACGCTGTGCTTCAAGTCAGTGCTCAGCACTGCTTACTTAGCACTCGCAGCGGAAGTGAATGTGGATGCAGAGCGCTGAGTGTGATGGAGAAGGTGGGGACAGAGCACCAGTGGCCATTTTAACTGTGAGCACACCTGGCAGCGCTGGAGAAAGGTGCCTGAACCCTGATGGAGGAAATCAATTCAGTGTGGGAATCCACAATTTAATGTTTTGGTGGACGAGCACACCAAATATTTGTTGGAAAATGGTATTTATTAGCACAAAATATTATCCTCCGCCATTTTGCTTAGCACTGAGCACTGTGCAGCCGAAGCGTTCATTGAAGCTGCTGCAGCAGAACAGCTACTCAACGCTTGGCTAAGGAACTGAACACGCCTCTGGTCTGTCTCCACTGTGTACGCTTCCACACCCGGAAGTTAAGGGAAGCAGCACAGAGCACTCTAGAGTCAGGGGCAGTGCAGCCATCATCAAAGTAAGTATTGAGCACACACGTTAATCAAAATATTTACTTCAGATTGTTCCCCTGATTTATAGCAGTGAATACATTGAAAACAGTTGGAGGGTTTAATACTACTTTAAAGTAAATCCAAACCCCTAAAAATGTTAGACGAGTTGCTGCATTTTTTTTCAGGCAGCTTTTTTCTTTATTTTTACCTGGGAACCCTGCCAGTAACACACTTCCTGTCGTAGGGTGACAACAATCACGGCTGCACTGTACAAAGGTAGACAGTACAGTTACAATACAAATTGAGACAAGAGGGTCAGAAGGGCCCTGCTTGTGATGGCTTACTTGTTACTATGACAGCTGTCACTCTCACTTTGCAGAGATTTGACCTTACTTCCTGTTGTATCTACAGGATAGGAAGAGAAGGTCAGTAGGTCACAGGCAAAAAAAAAAAGTAAATGAAGAAAAAACAAGCATGCAGACCTATTGTCTGACTCCTTTTGCTGAAAGCTTTACAGGTTAGTGGCTCAGAGTGTGTTGAAGACAAGGCAGGGCCAGTATTTTTTTTATGGAGATCATTCATGGCTGTCTCTAGGTTTTGCTCAGGTTTACTTTTCAGTGATCTGCTCTACAATGCCCTTCTGGTGTATTCATTCTTTACTTGCTGATCTTTTTTTCTTTAAAGCCCTATCCAAGTCAAAAACAATTCCCCTACCATTCATCTCTCCCAGCCCCCTCTAATCCATCCTGCCAGGCATTTCTTTTTTTCTTACCTGGTGAAGCAAATTATACGCTCGCTGACACCGCTTCTGCTGGTGGGGACCACTAATGCAGTGCCACACAGTAACCCTCTCCAGCTGGTCCCCTTGACTCCCTTCAAGACATCATCCATAGTTCCCTGGATCCTGAGTGCACCCCTCTGATGGACAGCCAATGGGAATTGTCCACGTCACACAGGCAGTGACATGGATACCTACAGGAAGGATGCCAGCAGGAAGTACACAGAAAGGAGTAATTACTTGGCACTAGATGATCACATGACAGTGGCTTTAGGTGAGTGAACTGGTTCATCAAGAAATTTGCTGCGTGGGTGCCGCTGCTGGCACCCTTTCGTCTGGCATCCCTCAATCAGCCGATCGAATGAGCCAGTTGGAAAATTGTCATCCAATCAGCTGCTTGCTCCATTCAGTTATTCTGACTGCGGCCGGCAGTCAATGTCAAAATACAAAGGAAGCAGCAGGAATTTGTTCTATTTCTTTTAGTTCAACCCGCAGGTTAAACAAAAAAGAGCCGTATATACACATCTTTACCTGCAAAGTAAATATATGCTCTACTCCTTCCTTAAATCGGCCACATGGTGTAGTACAAAGCAGATTGGGAAGTGTGCTGAGCTTTTAACACCAGTTTAAACTGAACCAAAAAAAACCAAAAGTGATTTTACTTATTATGGAACGTGTGTATTGCTTAACACTAACCAGTTCATGGGATTATCGAATTGCACATTCTTACTATTGTACAGTGTGTATCTATAGTACATATAGCATGAAATACAATATATACACTGCTAACATTACAGAGGGTATGTGAATGTGCAATCACACATTCTTACTATTGTACAGTGTGTGTGTGTACATATATAGTAGATATAGCATGAAATACAATATATATACACTGTTACAATACAGAGGGTATGTGAATGTGCAATCTCACATTCTTATTACTGTAAAATTGATGATATAGTGCTTATAGCATGAAACAAAATATACAGATTGCTAACAGAACATAAAAGGGGACAAGAGATGTAAAGGTTCAACAAGGAATGACCAATTGGCATGTTGATGATCTGTAATTTATTGTTTCGGTGTTTTTATAGGCAGTTTGCATGGAACCGAAAGGCATTGTTAAAGCATTTCCCAAAGTAAAACGATTGCGAGAAAGTAGCAATTCAACACAAGAAGCAAAAAAGATCAAAGCAGATGTTGATGTTCAAGGTAAGACGAAGAGTGTCTGAAAATCAGACAGGCTGTGGGCTCAGCTCTTAATAAAATGGTGGGAAGGACAGTAATGTGCAGACATACATTTACACCAATCAGATTCTCTCCTTCTTTCATGCTGCCAGTGCAGAGTGAATAGAAATGGAGTGAACGCAAACACAAATAGTTCTTAGGACACTTCCAGTTGTGAGGACCATTGTATTTTGTCACTTTTGAAGTTCAGTAAGTTGCAGAGTGATTTTGCTGTAAAACCATTTGCCATAATCAGAGCTGTCTCCTTCTCCCCACAAATTATCCCTATACCTGCGGTGAAAGTCCTTCTGCTGATCCTACCAATGACACACTCCCAGTCCTAGGATGGCAATGCTTGAACCGGTGTTACCATCCTATTACGGAAAATGTGCTGAGGCTGCAGAACACTCTTCTCATCTTCATACCGTAGTGAAGGTGTTCTGAAGAAGAGAGATCTTAGGCAGGGTACATAATGTTGTTTGAGGCTTTCAGTGCAGCAATGTCAGCTCACTACAGGAAGTTACGAGATTCCTGGAATTCTGGCAGGAATTTTGCAAATAATTATAACAAAACACATTAAATGCTATATTTA